ATCTCTGCATCATGACTAGGCGTGGACTTCTGTAATGGTCTCCATCTGCTGCAAAGACGAGCCTCTTCCATGCTACTCTTACCGGTAGGCATAAGGTTGAGTTCTACAAGATAGCAATTATTCTGGTCTGTGAACACGGTGGTAGCAGGTTATTCAATCAGTTCCTACTTCCTTCTAAAAACTAGGATCAAAGTATTTAGAGGCATTGAAATCTGTAAGGGCCAGAAAAGTAGCTAACTCTTTGTCAGGATTGTCCTGGAACCCATTAGCCAGACAAACAATATAATGACTCAAGAGGAGGATGAGGGACTCTGATGTCAGCATGGACGGCTCAGGACACAGATGACCAGATGATCAGATGGAGTCACTGTGGTGAGCGAATGGATCAGGGAGAGGAACAGCTGTGAAGATTATTTCAATAAGCCTTAAGGAGTTATTTGTCATTAAACTGAACAGACACAAGGTTAATAAAGGAAAATTTTAGGGAAGTGAGATGAAAACCCACCAGGAATGCTTTCATATAAAAAGATATCAGTCCAGTGACTTAAACGAGAAACATTCCCCATAGTCTCAGGTCTTTGAACACTTGATCCTCAGTTGGTGGTGCAGCTTGGGAAGGTTTAGGAGGTGTGGCCTTGCTGGAGGAAGTATGTCACTGAATCAGGCTTGGCATACCTATTGTCTTGCTCACTTTCAGTTCACACACACACACTCTCTCTTTTTTTCTTATGTTTCGAGATGTGAGATCTTCGTTTTCTACTTCTGCTTCCATGCCTGCCATTCCCTGCCATTACGGATTCTAACCCCCTGGAACCGTAAGCCGAAATAAACCCTTCCTTCTGTAAGTTGCCTTGGCCATGGTGCTTTATCCCAGCAACCAAAACATAACTAATGCATAATAATAATAATAATCCTCTTTTAAACTGCTGTTCAATGAACTCTCCCCACTCTGCTGCTTGCTAGACTGGAGATTTAGCTTCACTGCTCACCTTCCCTCCCTAGGCCAAATCTTAGCAAAGCAGAGCTCCTGCAGAAAAACAGGGAGGACCGTACGTGTCCTGAACACTGTTCAGCTCTAATATCCTTTCATATGAGTAACCAAGGCGAGGTATGCCACTTGAAGCATTTTACATCTTCATTCAAAACTGTCACAAGCTTTTTATCAAAACACTTTGACCAGTGGAAACAACTCGGGCAAGCAAATCATAAAATTTGAGCTGGATGAAGCTACACTAAGAAACCAAGACTTTGTTATTGGGAATACCTGGAAGCCAGACCATATGCAGTTAAAATGCCAAATTACATGTGAACAGGTTGTGCTTGCTAAAAAAAAAAAAAAAAAAAAAGGAAATGATAGACCTTGGGACTCTTCGTCTGTGAAAGAATGTACAGAGTCAGTCAGATGGCAAAAGGGAGGATCTCAAATATAAATACTGCCTATTGGGTCTGCTTTGCCAAAACAGAATTTGAACATTACAGATGAGGGCCATGAAAAGGCAAGTAGTCCGATATATTGATCTGTAGACATCAAAGGCAGGAAAGGAGCGAGACTTTCTCAGAACACAAATCTACGGAAAAGCAGCGCACAGCACGAGGCGGCCTGTGGGCCTATTGTCTGGACACACTGAGTGCTCCCTTCCTCTGCCCCGCACACTGTTGCTGGGCTGGAGAGCGAGGTTGTTGGATAGAAAGGGCCCACGAGTGTGGGCATCTCAGCCCGGCAGCGGGTGAAATGCACAAGGAGAGCTAAGTTAATGTACCCCAGAGTGCGGCTTGGCTGAGAGGAAACCGCTGAGAGCTTTCAAACGGTGCAAAGCACTTGGGAGCTTGTTTTAAAGGATCACAGAGCTCCGTCCTCTCTTCTGCCCCTTTCATGTGCTCCGTAAAAGCGCAGAAGTGTTCCATTTCCAGTGTGGGCTTGGGAGTGTGAGACCACGAAAGCTTTCTGTGGGGATACTACTCTTCAGTGACAATATTTCAGCAAGGCCCAGGGCAGCCAGGGCAGTGGCCATATGACTCTCCCTGTTAGGCATCTGACACCAGCTTCAAGACCGCCTCTCTCACATGTGAGCTCTGAGTGTTACCTACAGACATGTTCCCATTAAGACAGTCACCACATATAAGTACATGCATGGGTACGTGCTCCACACTCCTCTGCCAGTGGACAGATCATCTTGAGACCTAACTAAAGTCTAAACCTCTCTCTCTCTCTGTGTGTCTCTCTCTCAGTGTCTCTCTCTCTGTCTCCTTTGTTTGTTTCTGTCTCTCCCTGTCTGTCTTTCTGTCTCTCTGTCTCCCTGTCTCCTTTGATTCTGTCTGTCTGTCTCTCTATGCCTACTTGTCTCTCTCTGTGTGTCTGTCTGCCTGTCTCTGTCTGTCTTTCTGTGTCTGTCTCTGTGTCTCTCTGTGTATCTCTGTTTGTCTGTCTGTCTGTCTCTCTCTCTCTCTCTCTCTCTGTGTGTGTGTGTGTGTGTGTGTGTGTGTGTGTGTGTGTGTGTGTCTGTGTAAGGACCAATATCCCTTTCATTCAATTAGTACGTACTCTGGCATTTGCTTTAAGGTTTCTGTTTGGGAAGTTTCATTGTTAAGATTTCCTTCGCCTCTAAGTTGACTGAGCTTGCCACAGTCCATTAAGGTTGTCATTTTGTCTGAGGACCATGGGCAAAGGCCGACAGGTAGGGTTTCACTCTTATCTCTGTCTGATCAGAAGAGGAAGTCTGGCCACTCTCCCCCGAGCTTCAAGCTGATTACTGGCCTC